AGAATTATAATATAAAATTGTAACATGGGTAATATGAAAACTTATAATACTTTTGATATTTCCCTTCTCTTTTAGCGAGATATTATTAATTAATACACTCTTGGCGCGGCCACTTGAAGGTTAATTAATGCTGAAAATGCGATGGTGATGTCAAAGGAATGGTTGTGAGATTGTTCTGTAATTTAAAAAGACCATTGGTTATTTTTTCAAGTTATTTTTTAATAATTTCGATAAAAAATGATACAAATCGGATACTTAATAACAATGTAATAATGTTAAAGATATTATAAACAAGATTACTAAATACAAATGTACAGTTGGTATTTAAAAAGTTAGTTCCTTTCTTCCTGCTTTCCTGCTTCCTATTATGTATATATGCTGAAACTTAAAAGCTAGAGTACATAACTTAGAAGCGCATCTCTTACACAAAATATATTCCTTTTACCATAAAAACCGACGGAACTTCACGATGCTCCGGCTGAAGAACGTGCGGTATATCAAAGAAATATAAACAGAAAATAAGCAAAATCATCAGAAACAAGCTCTTCCGTTATGTGTAATCGATGCTAAGGAGAAAAAGAAACAAAAAAGATCGAGCGATGCAACAAAACGACGCAATAATCGACGTAATAATTAAAAAAAGGGAAGAAAGATAAAAAAAAAAGAAAATTCTGAAAACTCTTTCCGTCTTATATGATCGCGAGAAAGTTAAACGAACCGGCCGGTTATTGCGAAAGGTACAGGTCTGTGTAAAAATATCGCGAAAAATTTACAGCATCTTTTTCTTCGAAAGTGTTACCTCTTTTTTTCCCTCCTTTCAATATATCGACTTCCCGACATGAAAAATAGACATCTCGACTGAGATCAGGGTTTTCAACGCGAGTTAAGTATCTCGATAAAAATGAGTTCTATCTTGCTTTCGCAGCTAATCGCTCGCCTTCGCGGAATATTGCACTTTGATGTACTCCTTTTCTCTCTCGCGAGAAGCTGCACTCTTACATTTGATATTTTTTTCTTCTTTTTCTATCCACAATGATAACGTAGCATCGAGAAAATGATCTGTACCTATTTTCTTCTTTTTTTTTTTAAAGAAAAAAAATAATTTACGAAAGCTCGCGCATTCTTTCTTGATACATATCGACACAAGCAATTACATGTCACGCGACAAACGCCTAAGGTACACGAATGCATTATCCGACCAATATTAAAGATATTACACGTTAACCGTAAATAATGGCTCTGAATAAACCTTATACGTACACCAAATGTAACTGTAGCCCATCGAAGCGCAATCTCGAAATATCAAAAAATCTTTCCTTCCCACTTTCAATTAGACATATATACACGCTAAGAATTTGTTAGAAACTACTACACATCTATTTGTCAAGTCGTTCATACACATATATATATGTATATATATGTATATATATATATACGAATATATGCGCGCATTGGTTGGCGGTCGAATCGTTGTAATTTCAATAAAAGATATATTTACATGAAATATTAACTTTAATCTTAATTATTTTAAATTAAGAGTGCACTTAAAATTTGTCTGTTCTTAGACCAATTGAATTCTGAATAAAAATACGGATAATTATTAATGATTGTTTACTATTGGAATTTTGGAAATTAATTATTACACAAATTTATCCAAGATATTTGTCGCAGACGATTCGAGTGGCCGCGAATGCGCGCGCGCTTAAGTTTACTTGTTACTCGATGAAGTTTTGTAAAAATTGAAAAATCCTAATCGTAACACACGGAGGTGCGTTGTCGGTGCGACTTCGAGTCCGCCGAGATGCATATATATCACGGCTTACGATTTATTTGAGCAGTAATTTGTAACAGGAGAAACGTGCGCGTGCATCCTCCTCTCTCTAAGGCGTTCCTAACATTTACATGTGGAACGCGACATTTGTGTGGTACGTAACGATTATTAGAGATCGGACGATAAAAAAAATTGGCGATCCTCCAAGTCGTATCGACGACATTCGTTAAGAATAGAAGGCGGTTGCGGTGCGAAGAAAGCAAGAAAATCCGATCGCAATTAAGCGCAATCTCCTAACATAGTCTCGTATTTTTGTATAACATGTGTCCCATAAGAATGCATTAAAATTTTACAATCTGTACTGCTTTTTCAATTGTAACGCATATAAAATCATTCTACGAAAATAATCGCATTCAAGCGCGAATCGTCTTGTAAAGTTCTCTCGCAGAGCTTTATCGCGTACGAGGCAAATATATGTAACGCAAAGTGCGCTTGAAGAGGAAAATGAAGAAAAACTTGAGCGATAGTATTCGTGGTGGAAGCACTCTAAATCAGAGTTTCCCACGTTCCCGTCTCTCGCCGTAATGCGTGCGCTTTCGGCGCGAGACGGGACAAGTGCGAGAAACGCTCTTGACAACATTCCAATAAATCTACGGGAAAGCAAAACGCACACAATGACACAGGTCGGCATCGTCTTGCATTCTTCGCGTCGCCGCAAACTTTTTTCCCCTCTCTTTTACATACAACTATGTGTATCTCATTCCATATATTTTGTAACTCGTTCGTTAATTTCCCTTCTCTTCTTTTTTCTTTTTCCTTTTTCTCGCTTTTGCAATACATATCCATCGATTTAGATATATATTTCACTGTTGTACCCGTTCGCATACGAAATTCCCGCTCCTGTCCGTCGAGTGGACACACATACACACACTTCCTTGCCTCTTCCACTAAGCGCTTGCAAAATTACGATTGCAACAAATGCGTGTCTGGAGCAAAAGAGCTTGAACCGGTGAATAATAATCTATAGCGCCGGTCATTAATTTGCGAATGCTTATAAAAACTTGATAAAATTTCGAATCGACAAGAAAACGATCAAATATGCGAGCCGGTTCCTTTTCATATCCAAAACAATTTTTTTTCATCAGATACATGAATATGAATATTAATTCGTTCCAGAAAAAAGACGACATAATGTATCGTGTAGATTTCTCTTTTTAATTTGTACAACTAAAAATCGAAATGTTGTGCCTTTTTTATTTTTCCTACATCATTATACTAATGTACATATGTGTGTGTGTGTGTGTGTGTGTGTGTGTGTGTGTGTGTGTGTGTGTGTGTGTGTGTGTGTGTGTGTGTGTGGAGAGAGACTGCAATTTATTATTCAAATTATTATCAAGTTTCTATTCTAACGTCGCTTTAAATTTCCATTCTGCGTGTTGAAATAAATTCGAATGTTAGAATGGCTCCAGGTCCAAATACGCATTCGCCATAATCGTGGCGTACGAGAAAGAGAGAGAGGTCGAGCATCTCTCGCACACACGTGCGAACTGTGACCCAGCTAACGTACATGGAGATGCGCGCCGCGTACTTATCGTCGATCTCTATCCGCGCGAACAATAGCTTTCACGAAGCTACAAAGCGAATTGCGAAGGCGGATTAAACGTTAAAAGGTGGCTCGCGTTCTATTGAGCCGGTTCTGAAGTCTCCCGCGCTCTTTCTCGCTCATCGCGCTCTGTTTGTACAAGTGCCCTTCGTCGTCATCGTCGTCATCGTGTGCGTTCAACTGCAAATTACTCGAGTAATTTATGGTATCTGAATTCATATCCCCTCGCCACGATAGTTTTCTACCGCCTTCGGATGCAAACCTAAAGCTCCAAGCTTCGGCAGAGGTCTTAAAAGATAAGTCGATATAATCTTAACGTTACGAGGCAATATGTCACTATATTCGTTGCTGTCCTCGTCAAAAATCCCAAATGATCGAATATTTCGATGTTCGACACGATGAAATAATTTGCTGACTAATTGCAGAAACTAACTTTTTTTTCGACGCGAGAGTATCATGCGAGTATCGTTGGTAATTTTCCTTCGCATTAGCGCGATTATTATTTGTACGATTACGAACGTTGAACGAGCGTGGCATATATTACGCGACTTGATATGTAGCGCTGTTCGCGAAGAAGCGTTTTCGTGAAAATTTTAGAATCGACACAGCCTGCTTTTCTACTCGTGAAAGATTATATTCGCTCCTATTCTCTCCTCTCTACAATAATGACTCTTTCTCCAATCCATCTCTTTCCTTCGTTATTCACGCCTTTAAATCTACCGATTTCGATCTCTGCTCGTCTCGCATAAACCATGTAAATCCAATCGCTATAAGTTTCCTGTGTGAGACGTGCTCTAGTAAGGAGACGAGAATTTCGGAGCAATTGTATCGTTAATAATTCTTATTGCGCTTTCATGTAAATAGCTATCAACACTAACATTATACTTTGTTCCTCTTGGCCCTGTATATGATTTTTGTACGAGAGTTTCCAGACCGGAGTGATAGGCACTGTGTTTTCTTTGTATCTTATTTTCCTTTTTCTCAGTATTATCCAATTCTTCTTTATTTAATCCCTTCCCTTTCTCAGACATCATTCGTCCTTTGCCGAAAACGACGAGCCTTTTGCCCTTGACCGTTTCTCGATTAGAAAAGAAAAAAAAAGTGAAAAAAAAGAAACGACAGCGTTGATTGCGACACGCGTTAATTGGCGCAGTGCGATGGCCGCTCGCCTTCAGTGAGAAAGAAAAAAAAAAAGAAAAAAAAAGAAGATAAACAGAATTTGCGAGCGCGAAAATTCACGTCGAGCAATTCATCTCATCACAATCAGAAACTATTTGCCGTTTTCTTCTCTTTTTCGCAAATTTCAAGGATCGACCGTACTCCGCAAAGATCACACGTCGCGTCAAAATCGCTCGCTCGTCCTTTCGCGCCGATCAAGGAGGCGTTCGCCGAGTCCTTTCCCCTCTTTCGCTCAATCACAAATTGGCGATAGCAACTACGAATAATAATAGTAGTATTAATAATAATAGCATTGATAATAATATGACGATAAAATCGCGTATAATTACAGTAAAAGTAATAATATTAATAATATTAATAATTGTGAACAAAACAATGTTAATATATACGAATAATAATAATATATAATAATAATAATAATAATAATAAAAGCATATAGATGCGCTATATGCTCGGAAACATAGCATGATAAATCTTACAGAAAAATAAAAAAAAAACGGCTGGTAGTGAACTCGCTGGTATCGGTGCGACTATCGCTAATCACCGTTTACGAACAATCGTCGGAAATTAACCGCTACGCGAACGTAAATGTAAAGGAGACTATGAGATCAAATGTTTGATATATCGATAACCGTGCGCTCTCGCGCAACCAAGCGTGGCTCGCTCGATCGCCGCCCGATGCCGTCGCTGGATCTTAACCGCTGGATTCAGCGTCGATCGTGCAAGCGATCGATCGGAGAAACGCTCGCGCGTTATCTTTCATGTACATGTGTATGCGTGTGCGTATGGTGCGTGTACGTGTGTGGTGTGTATGTGCTCGTTCCCGTTCTCGATCGAAGCGATCGCGCTTTCCTCCCTCGGACTTACCTTCGTCGCGAGCACACATTTTCTCTTTTTTTTTTCTTTTTTTTTCCTTTCTCGAATCTCGGGGATGCGCACAGTTGGAGAGGGATACCGAAAAGATAGCGGAACCCGACGAAAGAATAGCCTCGTCGAAAGTATCCCCCGAAAGTATGACGATCCGGAGAAAATATTCTTTGATGTCAGGATATCTCGAGGATACGTCTGCGAATATTTTGAACAAATTCTCAAAGTGTCTCGAGAAATTATTCTGTCAATTCGCACGAGAGTTACGTACGATCGATCGTCACACTAGCCGTATCGTTCTATCTCATTTGCCTGTTCCAAATCGACAAGTTGTTCCTTTCACGAGGGAGCTTTCCGATGATCGCTTTTGCCGATCGCTTCGCCGTTTCTCGCGGGAGGACAAAGCGATTATCGTCGACGTAGCGATATATATATTTATATATCTCGCGAATTATTCACTTTTCAACATCCATATCATTATTTCATATACATATAATATACATATTTTATATATGTACGAAAGTAGCAGTAGCAGCAACGCACGCGTATTATGCCGATCAACATCCTTCCCGCATTCATTCCACTTTGCGTGAAGATACGATTCTACAGGTTCCCGTGGGGTACCCAGAATCATTTATAATAATCAAGTAGAGGTCCTTATTTCCACTCCTAATTTATCATACGGTGTGACGTCGCACTTTGCCTTAATCATTTATCAGGAGACATAAATACAAATAAGAAAAAAAAATAAAATAAATTGAAATTTTTCCGATTTCCATTTCAACATCGTCCCAATTTAATAAAATGCAGAAAAGTGCAGAATATAATAATAAAAGTATAAAGAAGAACAAAAACAAATCAAAATCTCTATCAAAAGCGATGAAAAAATAATTCCGCCATATGTATCCATCTTTGCAGCATCTTAACGTTAATTCTGCCTGATCATCCCATTCTCATCTCTTCTCATCTCAATTTAAATTAATTACTAATTACTTATCTTTATTATATTTAATTTAATCGTAATTTTAACTTAATTCCGCGTCCTTATCATTCTATGCTATAATTTTAGGTGATAATTCTAATGAATTCTTCTCTGAATTTAGAAAGAACGCCGATGTCACGCACAATGCGTGCGCGTTACGCACCATTGCTGGAGAGATTGTGTGTGTTTATACTTATATATCTCCAATATATATTATATTCTACTAAATACACATCCGTAGTATAACTACTAAATACACATTTTCTCGGCATAACTACTAAATACACATTTTCTCGGCATAAAAAGTCAAACAACAAAAAGTGGACAGTTGCGAGTCGCGCAGAGACGAGGAACCGTTTCGTGAAAAATCAAAACTTTGTTTTCCTTCGAATTTCCTTCTCGATCCGTCTTCGATCCGCGCGACCCCAATCGCCCACACCCACGCTTACCGATATCTATCTTCATACAAAAGTATACTACAATACATATACAAAAAAAAAGAAAAACATCTGGCTCTCGAAACCGTCACTCATCGTGGCTATCGTTCGTCTTCTTCTTCTTTTTCTTTTCTTTTTCAACGACCGTTAATGCTGCGAAGATGATTCGCCAGTTCTTTGTTGAAGTAAAAACTTTACCAATCTTGCTGTGCTGATATTCGAAATACGAAAAGAGCCAATGAAAATACAATCGCTTTAAATATCTAAAAATTTAATATTGGCGGACTAGTTCGTAAAAAAAGTTCAGCACTAGTATCAAATCTCAAGTATCAAATCTCTGATGTTCTGCAATCATGACGGCAAACGTCTCTTCCGGCCTGTAGCGAGATAATGGAGAGTCCTAAATATTTTCCATAAATTTCTCCAAGACAAAAAAAACTGTAAAACAAAGCCAAGTCTAACGCCCTTTCTTTTAAATTTATCTTAATAGCTTATGTTAAGGCTAAGGCTACTTCTCATCATGCTATTTCTTCTCATCAGGCTAGCTCTTCTTGCTATTACTTCTCATCCATTCTACGAATATCTCGCTATCCGCAAAGATTGTACGGTTGAAGTTAACTACAACCCAAACGATCGTATCTCTTCCCCTCGAAGAGACATTCCGACTCAATATAATGATTGGTCTCGCGAACACTCGCCTGCATTAAATACAAAAGAGACACGAAAGCCACGACGCGCGTCATTCGAGAAAAAATCGTGGAGGCGTACATTTTCGAGGAGCAATATCTTCTCGAGCGCCAAGTACAAAAGACGAAGACACGCGATGGCAAATGACGATACATTCGACCGTCTTTCGAAAATTGAGAACATGTGATTCGTACGGGAAAAAAGCTCGACGCTAGCAGTCACGATAACGCCTTATCGTCACCAACATCTTTAGCCGAGATCTTCAAATTGATCGGTTCGCGAGATGCTCGCGGGGTATCACGGACACAAACTTCTCTTTCTGTTCACGAAGAAGACTAATCCATCCTGAGAACAGCAACCCGTAATGCGGTTGACAAAGATACTAACGATTCCTCTTCGTGAAAGAAGCGTTGCATATAAACTGAAGCTGAATAAGATGTCCATTGCTTATCTGTTATTCTTAATCATTTTTTTGATTTTTCAAAAGTTTGACGGAGCCCAATCGTTGCTGTGGTTGAGAAGTATAGCCATGATGTCAGTACTGGATGATGTAAAGTCCATGTCCTTTATATCCTCCATTTCTTCTATGGTCGCCAAGTCAGCCAGTTCGGACAGATCGTCGGACAATTCGGCGTTGCTTATCAGTTCCTCGAGTTTAACCGAGCAACCAATGTTACCGAAGGAATCATCGGGGAGCAAAGAGTCATCGGTGAGAAGGACTCCCGTAGTGCCAGTCGTCGTGGTCGTTAGAATAGATGACATGACGGGCGATTGTGACGCGAGTAACGTATTGGATGGAATGACCGCGTCCATCATCAAAGGTTGCGACCACGTCCTGAACGGGCTCGTCTCTCGTTTCATGCCGAAAATCGCCTCCTTCAGCTTCTCCTCCTTATTGTGCAAACTCGTCGTCGATTGCCGAATGCCAGAAGCCGAATTTGCGCGGCAATATCCGCGGTTGTTCGTTCGCATCACTGACGTTATATCGGGCAAGATTACGTTCTTGTTGGCGAAATCATTTGTGTTGTCCAATTCGACCTTCGGTTCCTGCTTGATTTTGCTGACAGGGATGACATTGTAGATTGCGTGGACCGTGGAGGACTCTGAGGAATAATTATCATCGTAGAAAGTAGCGGATTCCGGCGAATCCGGGGTGTCACAGGTCGGGCTGGTGGGCACTTTAGCGGTCACTATGGGCGGCGCCGAAGTGTAATCCACATCAGAGTGCATTGGGTTGTCCAGAGTCTCCAGGGACAGTCGAACTTGCTTGGAGTTCAGCCTAGATACCGGTTTATTGCTCACCAGAGTCTGCAATCTCTTCATCGGTTTCTTCAACGTGTGTTGTTGAGTGTTGTTATTATTGTTATCATTTCTCGTTCTGCTTGCGTGACTAGCGGCGGGTGCCGCCGAGGGCGGCGACATCGGGGAAGCAGCCACGTATGAGGTATGCACCATCGGGCTGTTTGATGGCGTCGACAACGATGACGATGACGACGGTGACGGTGATGGGGACGGCGATGACGATGCCGAAGGCGATGGCGACGACAGGGTCAATGATAATGACGCTGACTTTCGCGGTCTCTTTCTTTCCTTTGTTTTCGAGACTTCCGCGGGTTTCGAGGTCTTCTTCCTAGGTCGATACTTGTAATTTGGATATTGTTTTTGATGCAGTTGCCTCAGTCGCTCGGCCTCATCCCTGAAGGGCTGCCTAGCTTCCTCCGATAACAACTTCCATTTTTTTCCCAATTTCTTACTGATCTCGGCGTTGTGCATGTCCGGCTGTACTTCGCAGATCTTTCTGCGTTCCATCTGCGACCAAACCATGAATGCGTTCATAGGCCTTTTGATTCGGTTCGGATTATTTTTCTTGGTCTGCAACAGATAAACAAGAAAACGGCATTCGTTTATTTTTTTAAATTCGAACACATCGATTATATAATATTTTTAGCCAAGAAATTCTTACATTTAGCATATTTCAAATTACGTCGATAATCAATAATTTAACTAAACGTCAATATCAATAATTTATAACTATACGTCAATATCAATAATTTATAACTATACGTCAATATCTGGTATTATACAGCAATATGCCACAATGTAAAAATACGCGAATTATTTTAAATCAAGACCAGAGGATGGAATTCGAACTATTGCCTTGAAAGAGAAGCCCGGTGATCGATATTCGCCAATATCCATCTATCCATTTAATCCTATATCTAACCACGAGTGATTATCATCCCTCCCATCGGATCGAGTTGACCGCGATCTTTGCATTAGACAAACACCACCCGGAATCAAACAATCACATTCGACGTTAAATATATAGGGATGCGACGAATACAGGTCGGCATTTTTTTTTTAAATTTTTTTGTGGCTGACGCACCAACCACACGAACCGCGATCGATTCGATCGGGAGAGAGCGCTTATGTGTATGAAAAGAAGAAAAAAAAAAGAACGAAGGTAAAACGAATCGAGAGACACGACACCCGTAATAAAGCGAGCGGCTGCTCCCGTTTCGGCAGTAATTTCCGACATTACGCTACAAAGCGGGCGCGACACGGAAAAGGCTCCTTGCCGCCTCGTCACGGAATCGGGGGCCCCGTACGTGCGTGCGTGCGTGCGTGCACATGCACATGCGTGCCTGCGTATCGACACGTTATTCACAATTAGCCCGCAGCTGACGGAAGCGGGTGACCAAGGCCGAGCTCGAGAGACAGACTCCGCATCTCAACTCGCTATACGATGGTGGCCTTCGCGAACTTGAGCGATCGCGTGCGTGTATGGTGCGTGTACGCGCACCGCTCCGGGCTATATGCGCGTCTCTTTTCGCCATGAATACGTATGCGAGCGCACATGTAGAAAAACACACACATACACACGAGTTGTGTGGCTATGTATGACAAACGGCGTAAAGACCGTATCGAGCTAATCGTACCGAGGACTATCCGGATCGCGATTGCGTTGCGCACGCAGATTGGGAGAACGGATCGATCGAGCTCCAAATCTCTCGATTCGCCGGAATTCTGACCTCGATTTTTGCTCGATCTTCTCCCGCTTCTGATTAACATTGACGCACAATCATATTCCTTCTGCAATACGTATAATTTTGAACTCCCTCGTACAATATTACGCGATCTTAAAAAGAACGCAGCGAAGAGATTCTTTCGTCCGTCGAAACAGCGTACTGTGAAAAGCATGGAACCAATATAATTTTAATCTCGACACCGATGTCCATTAAAATACGAAGAGTGTATTTTTTAGGATAGCTAATTTAAATATTTGAAACGGAAAAAAAATATTATCTCGAATATAATTCCCTGGAATTAGAAGGGAAAAGCAAAGAGTAGAAACATTTGTCTTTCAATCATTTTAAATCTCGCTCTTAAATATTGAATGAATAATTTCACATCTTTCCCCATCAAATTATCAAAGCTAATAATTGAAATAAGAGAGAGAAATGTCTACTTTTTGATCCGACATTTTTTACAGAGCAGTAACGAGATTTATTCGCACAACTACATCTACGTTCCTCGAAACGTTGATTGAAAAACACTGATAGCTGACCGCGCGATCAACATACACGGAATGACAATCGCGTCCCTCGGTGGATTCGTCGATATACGGCGATCCTCTTCCGCGATCGTGATCACCGAGGAAGAGGGGAAGGAGGAGGTGGACGATAGGAGAGCCATAGATCAAACGCGATTCGCCGGCGCGCGTCTCGCGTTATCGCTGAGAAAGGAAGAGGAAGAGGAAAAGCCGCGCGTATTGTCCTTTTTGGTCGCACGCGACGCCGTAAAGTCGCGAATCGCCGCGAGAAAAGAAGAGAAAGAGAGAGAGAGCAGTCACAGGGAGTGCACGTGTATAACAGCACACACGCATATACACGCATTTACGTGCACGGTCGAGCCGGTAACGGGAGGCGAGGAGGAGGAGGGAGGGGGGCGCGACTCAAGGATCGTTCGTCGGTGACGCACAAACGACGAGTCGCTCTTGTAAATCACCTCTCGCCGCTTCCTAGTCGCGCGGCCGTGAAACACGGAATTGTCATTTGTGCCGCGAAACGTGAGAAAGTTTCAAATGGTTCGGGGCCGCGAGCGCTCTCCTTCGTCGTCGGTTTCACAGCCGATTCAGACACTTCCCTGTTCAGTAATAGGCGCATTCGGCGCGCACAATATTTCTCTTTCTTTCTCTCTCTCTCTCTCTCTCTCTCGCGAGACTGAGATAAGAATAAGGTGGACTCTGAGGTGTAACTTTGAAAAAAATGTGTCGACACGCGAATATAATTTCTGAATTATGATTCAAGGAAAAAAAGATTGGGGAGACGTTTAAATCTTGCGATATAAAAGTTATGATTTTTTCAATTTGAAACTTTTCACGAAAATAAAAATCTATAATAAAATTTAATATTTAATATATAATAAAATGTAATACGGTTATATTTCAAATATTTATTTTTTATGACGTTATTTTTTATTTTCGATGTTTTGTTATCGGTTTTATAATGATATCTTTTACCATGATATATATGATAATATAAATAATCATCAATCTTTATTGAGTTTACGATAAGTGTAGACATATACATTGCCATCGAAAAATATCGCGATCTTTGTTCACCTCATTCTGTTATAATTACTTTAATTGACGGTATAAATATCTAGATGATAATCTCTAATTGGTTAATGACCGATAACTATACGGCTGAACGATCGACTGTGCGATCATCCAAGATGATTATTTCGACCAAACATATTACGCCGTCGTTCGCCGAAACTCAGCCGCGGCGTTCGCGATTCGATTTATGTAACACCCGATAGAGAAGGATGAACCTACGGTCTTGCGTCTCGCGCAATATCTGGCGCAACACATCGTGTGTATATCGAGGCGGCCCAATCGTTTTTGACGAGCTACAAGCCGCAAAAATGAGAGATATCGTCGACCAGGCGGCCCGCGATCGATCTAATGGATTCTCTCTCCTCTCGAGAGGCCGCAACGACGCCGGTCCGGGAATCTGAGGGCCTTAAAAAAAAAGCCTGAGCCGCCAAGGTAGAGGCGAAGTCGTTGTGAAGGCCCCCCCGGGGTCTTCCGCCACCGCTGCCGGGGCCCCGATAAATCATTATCTTTGCCGACCGGCTTTTACCTGCGACCCGTGAAAATCGTACGGACACGAAACCGCTAAATCGAGCGTGACTGTTGCTCGCGAGAGGATTGTGTCGAAAGTATGGTTTCCAAGGGATCCGACGAGGTGGGTGGGGCCCCCGTGTATATTTGGTTGTAGCTTACGTAGCTTCGCCATATGTTTCGCTCGCATTATAAAAGTGGTGCCGTTAAAGCGGATATCTCTGGTCGCTGCGCGCGTATCTCGATAGATCCGAGAAAATGGTTTATGGACGGTTTTTTATAAGAGCCCAAGCCCATTGCCTGCATTATATTGCCCGGTCTTTGAGTCTTTAAGGGCCTGCCAGGGTTCTATCTATAGAACCCTCACGAACACGTAAGCTCGTTTATAGTATCGGAAAAAAAGTTTCCAGAGATTGTAGACATTTTTTTAAAAATGTGCGCGAAATACGATTACGTTCTCCCTCGAGCAAAGACCGAGCAAGAGTCACGTATAATTCCTGGCGAAAAAATTCGTACGCAAAACCGATGCAACGATATCATAACGATATCGAGGATAAAGATATACCGGTTCTTGCGAAAGAGAGAGGCCTCGCCCCCCCTCCCCCCTCCCCCTCCAAACCGACTAATTTCCCAGGCCGTCTCGCTCCGCGGACTTTCCACGAAAGAGCGGACCTTGGAAGAGCGTCGTTGATGCGCGCAGACGGGCCGCAGTGCGTGTTACGCAACGCGTAATTATCGAGAAACGCAAAAACGAGCTCCCCCTCGTCGGCGAGGCAGAAGAAGAGATCGCGCGCGAACGCAAGGGCATCGCATTCTGATCTGCTCGCGATTTGCGTTGCTTATTAGACAGCGGTGTATGTTAATGCGGCTAACGCCGTGTATGCGCGGCGTGTATTATACTTTCAGATGTCGGACGGTCGACGTACCGCGGGAGTGCGGCGGAGATCGCGAGGACTGAATGTAGGTTACGAAAAGGAGAGCCATCACCTCTCCTCTCTGATTCGCATCCCGCGTTTATTCAGCGCGATCTCCCGTTAGACGCAATTCAAATTGAGATAATCGTCGGATCTCTCGCTCTGTTGTGTTGGCGTTTGTTAGTGTACGTAACGTACGAGTGGAGGGTTCCAACTTGACAACTTGATTTACAAGTGCTAATAAGATTAATCTGGTACTATTGTGTTAAAATAATGCTTTTTATGCCTAGTGAAAAGTATATCGTAGGCGTCCAACATCGTTAGACGAATGAATACTATTATACATATAAAGATCTTGAATAGCGTGAATGATAAAGGTAGCAAACAACAGACAAAAGCGGAAAGTCTCAAGTTCGATTTTTGTGCAATTTCTAAAATCGTAAAAACAATACATACAAGGATGAAAAATACAAGAGAAGGAGAAAGAGAGAGAGAGAGAAATATTAATATAATTTTTAAATGAAAATATAGCGCTCCTTTTCATATATTTTCCGCTAATTATTTCATAATTTCCAACAGTTCTCGCAATTTTCTTTTAATACTTGATTTACATGTGCCAATAAGATTAATCTGATACTATTGTGTTAAAATAATGCTTTTTATGCCTAGTAAAAAGTATATTGTAGGCGTTCAGCATCATTAGACGGATGAATACTATTATACGTATAAAGAGCTTGAATAGCTTGAATGATAAAGGTAGCAAACAACAGGCAAGAGCGGAAAGTTTCAAGTTCAATTTTTGTGCAAATTTATAAAATCGTAAAAACGAC